CCGGTTCTTGGACCCATTTGGACCGGTACAACTTTAATTGCATAGAGTACAAGTCGTTAAAATAAGTTGTTGGGTTTGATAAGATACAACTTGTAAAAATGATTACGTTTCCGTTTTATGCATAACTAATCTATCTTGATGTTATAATATTATAACTTGCAAAATTAATTTTCCAAATAAAAGCAACTAACATATAAATCAAGTTCACCAAGATCCCTTTCATATGATTTATCTATCAAAGATACATAAAATTCAGAATTATAGTCTAAAATAATAGTTAAAAAGTTGAAATATTTCAGCTTTGATAGTTCAACTTTGAAGGATTGTAACTCACTGAATATAATACCAAAATCAACAAAATTATAGTCTAAATTCATCTACAAAATGTAAACTAAATGTTGGAAAAAACCGTAGGTCAATCTGACTTAAAACGAATGAGTTATGGTTGTTTAAAAAAATTCACAAATTACAAAATTTTAAAAATCTTGCTGAAAAGCTGAAAATTTTCAGCTTTGATAGCTCAACTTTGAAAGACTGTAACTCATTGAATATAATACCAAAATCAACAAAATTATAGTCTAAATTCATCTACAAATTGTAAATTAAACGTTGGAAAAAACCGCATGTCAATCCGACTTAAAACGAATGAGTTATGGTTGTTTAAAAATTTTCACAGATTACAAAATTTTAAAAATGTTGCTGAAAAGCTGAAAATTTTCAGCTTTGATAGCTCAACTTTGAAAGACAGTAACTCATTGAATATAATACCAAAATCAATAAAATTATAGTCTAAATTCATCTACAAATAGTAAATTAAACGTTGGAAAAAACCGCATGTCAATCCGACTTAAAATGAATGAGTTATGGTTGTTTAAAAATTTTCACAGATTACAAATTTTTTTTTTTAAATCGGGTCCAACCGGTTCTAAACCCGGTAAAAATCGGACCGGACCGGGAAAAAAACCGGACCGGTTTTGATGGATTCCTAGAACCGAGAACCGGCTCGGGGTCCAAAAAAAGGGTCCGGTCCGGTCCGGTCCACCGGTCCAAATGCTCACCCCTAGTCGTGTGTAATATTTAATAAATATGATAATGTTGCTAATGTGCCTCTTCATGTCATCATGTGCTAAGTACTATGCAGTTCATGTTGGTGTGATATATAAAAGAGCATATCAATGTGATCACAAATAATATAGCGGGATGTGGATATGTTATTTACATCATTAATGATGTTTATAACTAAATTATTATATTCCTACCTTACAAAGAAACCATTTCAATTGAAGTACACTTAGGGTTGATCACATGACAACATGTTAGCTAATATGAACTCAAAGATTAGGAGGTTTTTAGATAATTAGATCTATAAAATGGCACATACACGGCAACGTCCCCTCAAGTTTTAGTACTTGTACAAAAAGCTGCTAAACATATGGGGGTGCTACTGTAATTTAGACAAACATTAGGGGGCTATGAGTCTCTTAATAAACTTTTATGGATCTTTATATATTTTAGAATTTTGCTTGCTTTTTCTGATGATCTCTGCAAACTTTGATGCATCTATGCACGTGCTTTTCCCACATATCATATGCCGTTATTTTCGAATTAAATTGTGTAAGAAATGAGAAAAATAATGTTCTATTCATTTTGAAATAAGGATGTATTTTAATACGAAAATTACACTATTGATGCATTCAGAAGAGGTTAGTAAATGCCGTCGTCTGTCTTTTAATATTTAGTTGATGGAATTATTAAAAAATTGTGAGTATCAAATCCAAAATTAAAAATAAAGCTTGATCTCACTTTTCTTCGACATTAATGTTAGTTCATGTCACAACAAATGCATCTCTAGTCCACATAATTCATAAAATTACTGTTATTATGAAGTGAAGTAAACAGCAAGAACACAATGAACACTTTGTCCTCAACAAATGATTGAATCCTACACACATATTTACACTTAAGCCTTCCTGGATGACTACTACAAGAAAATTTCGATTTAACTACGGAAAAATTCTGTAGCAAAATGATGTAATTCCGTAGCTAAACATAAATAACTACGGAAGTTGCTACGGAAGTTGCCAATGAGATTTCATAGTAAGATTTCTTGTAGCAAAATGTTTAACTACGAAATTATAGTTCCGTAGCAATTTTGCTATGGGTGTTGCTACGACGTCTATCCGTAGCATTTCAACTACAACACACTTCCATCACAATTCCGTAACAATGAATTCTATAGCAAATTCCGTATCTATTTTGTTCCGTAGCAAATTCCGTAGCCATTTGGTCCATAGCAAATTTCGTAGCTAGTTGTTCCGTAGCAAATTCCGTAGCCATTTGGTCCGTAGCAAATTCCGTAGCCATTTGGTCCATAGCAAATTCCGTATCTAATTGTTCCGTAGCAAATTCCGTAGCCATTCGTTCCGTAACAAATTTCGTAGCCATTCATTCTGTACCAAATTTCGTAACAACTTTTTTGTAGTCAATTCCATAACAATCGTTTCATACCATTTTTTCTATAAAATTCGGTTATTTAATTTGACTTATTATATCAATTTACAAAAATACAATTAATATAAAACCAAAAATAACAAAGTATTTCTATAGAAACTAAAAGAAATATCCAAGACATCAAAAGATACATATTTCAAAATCAAAAGTCGCTACAAATTTAACATAAAACATTATTCGATACATAATATTCTATAATTTATTAATAAATGTTTTGACTTGTTCACTCAATGTGTTAATGACATTCATTGCTTGTGCAAGTTGTTGTTCAAACTTTGCTTGAACATCCACATTTTTCTGTATCCCAAACACGAACCATTCCATCCTCTGATCCAACAACCAATTGAAATCCATCCAATGCAAAACCCAAAGAGCATATCGCCTTACTATTAAAAATACAATAAAAAACATTGGAATTAGATTATTAATTTAAAAATATTATATTGTAAAAAAGTTTGGGTTTCGCATACCTTTGATCAGATAATGTGCCAATGATATGCAAACCAAGTTGTTTGTTGTTGTTGTTGTTTTATTTGTTTGGTTATGTGGTGGTTGAGCATTGAGTTCTGTAATGTATATTTTCCCATCTCTCCCCACCAGCATAAAAAACATGTTCTCCTGGATCTAATGCAACTGCATCAGTTATTGAAGGGAACACAATATTTCTCAACAATGTCCCTATAGATAGGCTCCATACCTGCAATTTAAACAAATTCATGAGGGCATTCACGTCTTTTCCAAATATTTATGCAATATGTACCTTGCAAGTACGATCTAGAGAAGCAGACAAGATAATTGCATTGGATCCTCCATAGCCTGTAACAATGTCTGTTACAGGTAAAGCATGACCAGTGAAACTGTACTCATACAGATGTCCTGCTCTCTGTTGTCCTTCCTCATCAAATATCCTGATCACAATAGGTAGAAAATGTATGTGTTGTGAGTTTATTGGTGATAAACCCTAAAATTGTAATTCATATGTTGAGGACCAGCTTCAGGATAATTCAAATTGCAGGACTTGAAATTTGGCAATTTGTCAACTGCTAAATTGATTTTAGTGGTTGCCTGTTTAATAAATTTTTATAAATCATAAATTTATTACAAGAATAATAATATTTGATAATGAAAATAATAATAATAATAATAATAATAAACTTACGGAACTATAGTCAAAGTGTTTAACAGCACGTGTAAAATCATCAGGGAGAATATTTTCAGGTACTAATTCCTGTTTCAGAATTTATAAAAGTGTAATTAATTTAATTACTTGTAACTCAAGTTAAAAAATATTTACAGAATGAAAATAAAAAAGTTACCATGAAAGTCTTGTAAGGGGTAGCATTTGATAAAACAACTGAAGATTGAACATGTGTTCCATCAGCTAAAATAACCTGATAAAAAAAGTCAAAGTTAGATTTTGACCAATCTTTCTTCATTCTGATTGAGTGTTGAAAACTTGTAATTTTATAACAAAGCTCACTCACCCCAGTTACTGTGTGTGAATCATTGATCATAAGCTTTGATACCTGAATAACAAATAACCATAAAAGTGGATATAATATTAAAAATTATAAACTATAAACTATAAAAATAATGTTTAATTATTCCAAACATATGTTAAAATGACATACCTCAGCATCAGTAAGTATGGTGAAACCAGCTTCTTTAGCAGCATTTCCAATGGCCATAGACACTGAGCCCATTCCACCTTCAACATATCTAAACACTTATCAGTTATGGATTATATGAGAATATGAAAGAAAATACAAATACTTCAAAAAAAGTATAATTTGGTGAAAAAAAAGTATTGATTTATTAATAAAACATTACATACGACCAAATTCCACGTTCACCATCAGTTTCTCCCATCACATGATGCAACAAAACATATCCACTCCCTGGTGTTTGAGTATTTCCCTGAATTACAAAGTCAAAGTCAAAGTCAAAGTCAAAGTCAAAGTCAACCATGGTGATTGCATAAAAAATTGGATTAATAGAAAGGGTAATTATTACTTACAGTTGTTCTTATCACTGCATCTGTAGCAAGTGTTGCTTTCAACACCTCACTCTGCATTTTATGCACATATAAAAGATCAAAATTTTATCAAAAGCACATGTTGTCTTTAAATCATTGAGGAATGAGGAGAAATTAACAACCTCAAACCAACGATTCAAGACATTTGATGATGGTGATAGTAAAAGGTCCATTAAATCTCTGTAAAAAGAAATAATACATAAGTTTAAGCAAATATAAACAGCAAACTGATGTGATAAAACCTAAAAGTCTTATTTTGCACTAGGGTAAGAAATCTTACACAAGCCCTTGTTGACCCATGGAGACAGATTGATGCAGACAATGTGCCCAAAATTCTGATTTTTGTAACTTGCGTTTCAAACGGGAATTGAAAGATGAAACACCTTGATGAACTTCAGGTGGTGATGAATCGATTAGTGGATCCATAAACTTGCAAAATTTCTCTAGCTGATCCTCATACCTATATGTAAACAATAGAGGAGGTAACATATTATATTTTGATTTGTAAAAGAAACATACAAATAATCAAAATCAATAAGTATCTTTGGAGCCCTAATTTTTTTCCACTTGTTGAATCAGAAAGTTGGTTTACAGTCTACATTCTACAATCAATCAATCATCATAAGTCATAACGAATATGAATGAGGGTGAAATCATGTATCTTGTAAAAAAATTCATCAATCAATGGTAATTAAGTCGAAGTTAGATATGAGGAGATAGAAATATGATCACACCAATTCATCATACTCATATGAGCATACAGTTGGTGTTCTCAATGATATGATAATGTAGTATCGAGACAGGAAAGTCACACAGGAATAGAACCTTGGATAAGCGTCAGCATCCTGTTTTGAAAACTTTGAAATCTCCGAATGATCACAATGTGTTCGAACATTTAGAGAAATGTGATGCCATAATTACCTTGTTCCACGACCAGAAGAGAACGGAGCCAGAGGATGACGAAGAATCACGGAGCTGGGAGGAAGCAAGGAAGCGTCCAGCGACGGATACAAGGCCGTGAGGAGGAGAGGCGCATGAGCGGTAGCGGAGATGTTCTGCACCGGAACGAAGGCCCCAGCAACCGATTCCGGCTTCGATGGATGAAGAAGCGATGACTACTTCGTCTTCCATGTATAGAGAATTTAAGAGCTTGATGGAGATTCAGTTGTAGAGACGGCCGCGAATGCGGAGGAGATGGAAGTTGAGAGAGGGAGAGATGCGATCGGCGTCCGACGATGGGTTTGAAGGTGATACCTCTAATTTGGGGTTAGGAGGAAGTAGATTTGTGTGAATTTACTAATTTACCCTTAATAAAACATTGAAACGGCTCAAGTTCATCAAAGGATTCTCTCTTTTCTTTTTTTACTAAAACACCAAAATAAAACAAATTAATTTTTTTTTTTTAGAAAAAGCTGGTACAAGACTGAGGGTAAATAAATTTTGATTTAGGGGTAATAATTTTCAAAGCCTAAAAAATATGGGGATAATATTATTATACGAAAATTAGCAAACGTATGTCATCAAATCTAAAAATTACAGAATATTTATAATGTAGAAATTATATTATAATTAAATTTTCAAAACAATTAAAAATAATATTTTATTTTTGTTGTTGAGTTTCAAAGATAATTGTGTATTTTTAATATCTTTTTTTCAATAATCTTATATATTTTGTTACGGAAACATATTTTGTAACTACTTGACTACGGAATTTTACGTAGCCAAATACCTATGGATTTTGATTTCGTAGCTATTTTGCAAATTCACCTTTTTGTAACAAGTTCCATAATAGATTAGCTACAAAATTTTATTTTGTAGCAAATTTTCCTAGCAAAATAGCTACGGATCCTAATTCCATAGCTAACTAGCTACGTATTTTTATTTCGTAGCCAATTATGTAGCCAACTAGCTACATACATGGATTTTGTAACAATTTCATAGAGAACTAGCTAAACCAAAAATTTGTAGCATTATTTGTAGTAAACTAGCTACGGATTTTAATTTCGTAACAACTATTCAAGATTTAGCTACGGAATGCAATTCCGTAGCCATTTTCGTAGCAAATTAGTTACAACCAACCATTTTGTAACATATTCCGTAGTAAAATAACTATAAATTTGATTATGTAACATTTTTACGAGTATTTAAGATTTAGCTACATAATGCAATTCTGTAACCATTTATGTAGCAAAATAGCTACGACAAGTCGTTTCGTAGCATATTCCGTAGTAAAATAGCAACGGATTTTGATTCCATAGTAACTTTCCGTAGCTATTTATGATTTTTCTTGTAGTGGATGAGGACATAACTAAATCATTCGACATGTAAATTAGTGACTACCTTCTAGAGTATTTACAATGACATTCCAGGCAGGGCTGATCAAAGCACAGTTTGAGACACCAAGCAAAATAAAATAATGACACCCTTACAGTAAAAAAAAAATAAAGGTGACTGGTTTTTTTGTTTTTGTTTCTTAATGCATGGGTCGTTTTATAAATTTGTCCTTAGAACGTTTATGTAATAGTATCAGTTGTTCAATTTTTTGTTTTTTTTTTCTTTTCTTATAACCAAATGCTAGGCAACATGCTATTATTTTGAACTTATAAACAAAGAGAAAAAAACACGTAAATGAATCGGAAACACCTAGTTGTGAACTTGTGATGTTGAATCGTTTTTCAGCAACAAACATAATGATTTTTTGAATCATTTTCTAGGCTTCAATAATAAGTATTTCAAAACTTTTAATATTGAAGTTTCAAGTTATATATAGACAATCAGAAAGAAAGCACATAAATTAACCTTTTATCATAAGACTAATATGAAAAAAATGAAGAACAATAACAAAATCTTACAACTTACACAAATTAGAAATAAAAAATCAGAATTAGGGAGCCTTCCATTTCATCTTAGTTTCCACTAGAATTGATAGAGTTTCATCTTCTTTTGTTGGAAATTGGTTTTCCCAATTTCCAAAAATGGTTTTTTTCTCCATTTTTTAGTATGAATTTCGAACTTTAGATATAATCAAAATGGACAAATGATTACATATTTGTGTTCTCCTCCGTGACACATTGGTTTTGATATATAAAACATCCAAAATGGAATAAAAATGAATGGGAAATTATTTGTCAAAGTGAGGTAGTTGAAAGAGATTAAAAATGAGTTAATTGAGTTTTGTTTCATCCCACATTGGTGGGAGTATGAAAAAGGAAAATATGTTTATAACTACAAAAACTATCTACCTCTGTAAGACTTATAGAACCAAGGCTCTCTCTTGCACGCGCATGCATTGGGGTGAAAATGCAAGTCAGTTTGGCTTCGGTTTACTGAACTTGTGTGCGAGCGTGCGTCCTATGGCTATGAATGCACCATCGGTCGACCAGAAAACTTCAAGGATCTTTTGCAATTATTTTCTTATCGTTTAACATTTTACTTGACTGTTACGTTTTGATGTTTAATGACATTAATTATGTTTTACAGTATGAACAGAGCATCTCCTTAACTGTTTAGATTACACTGAATGAATCAAAATCAATTTTAGCTTTCTTTCTTACTTTTGGTGCTTCTTCTTCCATCCCCTTCTGCAGGACCGGAAATCGAACCAGTATATAGGAATCAGTTTCAGGCAAAGTGGGTTTAGAATTGGAAACGTCAAAGTGTGTTGGATAGAACCGGATAAAGTAGGTCTAGAACCGGAAAACTAGAGTTTTTTGGTTACTACTTACTAGGTTGAACTTTTTTCCAGCATTGATATCCTGACTTCGATGGACTGTAAATCATTGAATATCAAACCAAAAATAAAAAAATTATAGTCTAAAATCATGTAAAACCTCTAAAATACACGTTGGAAAAAACTGTATGTTAATCCGACTTCAAACGAATGAGATATGCATGTTTTAAACTTTTCACACAAACTGGTTCTGATCCCTAAACTTGGTTTAACTGGACCCTAAGGACCCAAACTTGGATTACCCAAAACCCAGGTAAAGCCATTATTTAAACCAAGAACCCGGACTGGTTCTACATATTCTGGTTCTAACGGTTCCGGTTTTGGTCTAGTTTTCCGATTTTAAATCCCATCTCTAATGGAGTTCGCTAGGCTATTATATTGGTGGTGGTCATAAGGTGATATGATAGGGTTAGGCTGTAGGCATGTGATGAGGGTTGTAGTTGGGTATAGTCCTTTGAAGATGGTCGATTTTAGTAGGTTGTAGTGAAGGTAGATGTGATCTGGTGATGTATGATGTGAAGATGATGATGTAGATATGAAGATGATAACTCGATTTTTTAAGATGATGACGGTCTCGTGAAATGTAGAAGATGATGACATAAAATATTAGATTTTAAGTTAAAGATAATGATTAAGTTTCCTAAATTATAAATATTTATGTAACAGCCTATTTCCCGGTACATGAATTATCCTGGTTTTGTTTTGCCTTTTTCGCTAAAAATCTGAAAATCTGGATTTAATCATAAGGGACGTGGGTTCCCTTTACGCCTTGTTCCCAATGTCTACTTAAGGAGGGAATGGAGGTATGGTGAGCAAGGTTATAAATGGTGTGAGGCGTGGCGTGGCGGCAATACCAAGCCTCAAGCTTAATGAGCCATGACGAGTCATGACGTTTTTCAAGGCGTGATGTCAGGCGGCGATTTTGAATTAGTTTATAGTTATATTACAACATAAATATAAATTTATATTAAATATAACTACCTTTTAGAAGTGTTATATCAATAACTAAGAACAAAAAATATTAAAAAACACAATACTTGTATCTCCGATTAGAAAAGACATAACAAAGAGCAAAAAAACGTGTCTCAAACGAAAAAACACGCGCCATAACACACCATAACGCGTCATGGCACGCCATATCACACATTGCCACGCGTCACGCCTAACAGCAACGTTATGAGGTTTTTCATAACGGCAAAATCACGCCTCACGCCATGGCACGCCTTGGCACGCGCCATGGCACGCCTTTTAGAACACCGATGGTTAGGGATGTCATTGGAAATTGTGTTCCTGAGTTTAATTGATGGAATGAAAGTTAGGGGAAGGAAAGGATTTTGCAGCCATATTTTCCTTCCAAATTTTCCTCCAAAATTGGGCGGATTCTGGAAGAAAATGAGGGGAAGGAAAATCTTTTAGTTTTATTTTCTTTCCTTCATAACTCGGGAACACAGAAACTTAAATTTTTTCTTTCATTTCCTTCGAACTAGGGAACACGGAATAAGGAAATTTTTCCTTCCCTTCCCTTTCTTTTTGTCAATATTTTCCTTTTCTTTCCTTTATTGAATTTACAAAAAAAAAAAATCCTCATGAACAAGGCGTTATGGGGTTATGGGGCGCGACGCGCCCCGGCCCATGGGTTTTTTTAGGGTTTGGAGGGCTATTTAAGCATCATTAACCCTTAGGATTTGATAATTCTTATCCTCAAACACCCTTAGAACATTTCTTGTGAAACCCTAGCCTCCTTTCTCTCATTTTGAGCCTTAGAATTCTTTTATTGGCTTATTTCCCTCCTTGTGGTATGAAACTTGAAGATCAAGATGTTTCTTTTGTGCATAGAAGGAAGGCTCGAGTATAGATCCAACAAGTTTGCATCATTTCTAGACCATTGTGAGTATAAAACTTCAAATTTACTCATTGATTCTATAGATCTTGTCTTATGTCATAAAATGCACTTTATGGTTCATTTTGTTTGTGATCTTAGAGTTGAGGGGACTCCAGCTCCTTTTAAGCAACTTGGAATGTTTCTTGGACCTCATTGACTATGAAAATTATGATCTTTTGCATTCCCAACAAGCCATTCAAGTTATATTGGTCCCTTAGGTCATTTTGGTGTAATAAAGTTGAGATCTTGAATGTTTGGGAAGTCTTAATGGATAAAGTTGGAAACTTTATCCATTAATACCTTGTAAAGGACTAGATCTGGAAGTTTGAGCTTTGACTTAATGGATTAAGTCGGTTTTACTTTCAGAAAAGGGAATGGATGTGACGCGTATTTCCCACACGTGACACCTCTTTGGATGTCTTTTGAATCACGTATGTCTTAGACCTGAAACCCAACTGTTTTATATTTTAGTGGGTGTGGGGGTCCCTTATAGTGCGCATGGCGCCTGTCTGACTAATT